GGGGGGGGCCCAAAGAGGAGAGGGGGCCCCCATAGAAAGGGTACTGCTTTGAACTGACGATGAAAGCAAATGAAGAGAAAAAATAGAATAAGGAGAAACCCGAACTCCTGTGGCGTTGCTGATGATATGTATAAATGCAACGCGAAATATATGGACGAATTGTATTTATACTGCATAAATAAAAACTAAACAAACATAAAAGTAAATCCATCAACACATAAACGAAGTGAATGATGATGCGGCCTCCCCTGACCCCATCTATACACAAAATATAAACAAGGGCTCCGCCGCGATACCTTCACCTCAGCAACTGCTGTATGCAGCTGCTTGCTGCTGCTGGATGCTGCTTGCTGCTGCTGGCTGCTGCTGGCTGCTGCTTGCTGCTGCTGACTGCTGGTTGCTGCTGCTTGCTGCTGCTGGCAGCTGCTTGCTGCTGCTGGCTGCTGCTTGCTGCTGCTGGCTGCTGCCTGCTGCTGCTGGCTGCTGCTTGCTGCTGCTGGCTGCTGCTTGCTGCTGCTGGCTGCTGCTTGCTGCTGCTTGCTGCTGCTTGCTATGCTGCAGCATTTGCAGCCTAGCGAATGCGTTTCCAGCAGTTTCTCTCTATCCCTCATTTTTTTCTTTCTTTTGCTGCTGGAGCATTTCTACAGCAGTAGAAATGTTGAAGCAGCAACAGGTATCAGCATTTCTTCTGCTGCACGGTCACCGTGAACAAACGGAAATATATTTTTTTTTTTTAATTTCAGAAATTATCCATTGAATAGATCAGCATATTCTCGTGCGATAGTTTTTGCATCAATTCTGTCTTCTCTTTTAACCTGCAACAGCCGTTTCAGCAGATGTTGCCAGCGTGGCGGTACTTGTGCTTCCTCCATATCCGAGTTTAGTTCATCTGCATTCGCACCTCTACTCAATAGCTCTTGTATTGCACCCTGGAGTAACTGTTCACTGTTTGCTGGCTCTGTTAGTTCATAGGGAAGCTTGTTCGTAAACAATTCATATACTAAAACCCCTACAGACCATAGATCACCCTTCAGATCAGGGGATACACCACCCTCTCCTCCTTCATTCATTTGTTTATATATTTCTAATAAGAATTCAGGCTCTGTATATGCTGGAGTAGCACCAGCAAGAACATCTATCGTGTCTCCTGCTTTGCTGCAGCTGCTGAAATCACTCAAAAGAAAAGAACCATCAGCTCTCATGAAGCAGCCGCTTAGTTTCAAGTCATTGTGACAGGTTCCTCGTCGTTGCAGATGCAGTACCTGCAGCAGCAGCCTCTGTGCTAGATACACCTTCACTGACATAGGCTTATCCTTCATGCTTCCTAATAGCTCTTCTAGATCTCCCCGTAACCTCTCTGTCACGTGTACACCACTGGATATGAACACCCCTTCTGCATACAACCCTTCATCGAGGCCATCTATAAACCCAGTAGCCAGAGGCACCGCCCATCCCCTTATTTCAGATGCTGTATGTGCTGACATATTCCCCAGAGCAGCACGTATTCCCCTTTCCTCTGCCGCAAAGAGTTCTTTTGTTAGCCCCGCTAGCCTCTCTGCAGCGAAATCCATGCCCACAGCGCCTATTCTTTCATCTAGCTCTTCAAGAAATGAAAAAGGAATACGCAAAGAAAGCAGTTGCTGTGTCTGTTCATCTCGGACTTCCAGCACAATCGATGTATTCCACTCGCCAAGGAAACGCGTCACCGTCAGGTCACGGATCGCTATACCTTCTCCTGTTGTGTTTATTTCTTTAAGAGAACGAAGATGAAGTGTTTGTCCTACAAGTTCATTCGTTTCGTTTCCTGATAAATGCAGAGCCAGGTGCTTCACAGCGTCCTCTGCAGCAGTTGATGCAACAGGCATATGCTGCTCAGCTGTACGCAGCAGATCCAGCTCCGCCAAAGCGTCTGCCAGATGCTTCTTTCCGTCTAAAGCCAGTGGCGACAGCCGGCTGTCTTCAGCACCCAACGACGGCAGACTGGGGAAATCCCCCACCAGCGGCCCCCCCTCCTCCTCCTCTTCCTCCTCCTCCTCCGCCCCCGGCTGCGGCTGCGGCTGCTGTTCTTCCACCGGCTGCTGCTCCTCCGGCTGCTGCACCTCCTCCTGCGGCTGCTGCACCTCCTGCGGTTGCGGCACCTCCTGCTGCGGTTGCGGCTCCTCCTGCTGCGGCTGCTGCTCCTCCGGCTGCGGCTGCTGCTCCTCCTGCTGCGGCTGCTGCTCTGGCTGCTGCTCCTGCTGCGGCTGTTGCTTCTCCTGCTGCGGCTGTTGCTCCTCCTGCTGCGGCTGCTGCTCCTGCTGCTGCGGCTGCTGCTCCTGCTGCGGCTGTTGCTCCTCCTGCTGCGGCTGCTGATCCTGCTGTGGCTGCTGCTCCTCCTGTTGCTGGACCTCCTGCTGTTGGTCCTCCTGCTGCTGCTGCTGCTCTTGCTGCTGCTGTTGATCCTGCTGCTCAGGTTCGCTCACCTCCTGACGAAGCCTTGGCCTCTCTCCTGCGCGCGGCGAGTCGGCAGCAGACGCCGGAGCAGTAACCGGGCCAGCAGTAACAGGGGGAGGAGCTGCTGGTCGCAGCAGCGCAGGCCTCCAGCCCGATACTCCGAGTGCTACAATTGCACCGAGAAGAATAACCAATGCAGAAGATAAAGCATGGTGACGACGAAAACGCCGCCGCTGAGCGTCCCGCTCTTGCAGCAACTGCTGTTCCAGCTGCTGCTGTTCGTGAGGCTGTTGATCCAGCTTCTGAGGATCCTCCTGCTCCAGCAAAACACTATCCTCCTGCTTCTGCTGCTGCTGCTGCTGTTCGCCTTGGCTAGGACTAGTGTCTGGTGCGACGCCGCTCCACGTGCCTGCAGCGCCGTCAGCAGGAGAGGCCTCCAGAGCAGCCCCTGATGTCATCTTCTAGCCTGTTGCCTGAGGCGAAATGTGCACGAAAAAGCCTGAAAACAAACCCCACAGCCACCGCAAACGCAGAAACTCAGCTCCTACACATGCGTGTGATGAGCACGTGCATGATTCTTGAGTCCTTCAAGAACTGGCTTAAAGAAAACAAATTTTGGTGGATCTATAAGTGCATATAGGGCATTTTAAAGGCCTTACGCTCACAAGTGGAGCAGCAGGAATGGAAAGGAAGAGGAAGAGGCAAAGGTTTTCTGTTCAATACTGCTGGCGTCGTTCGGGTTTCGAGGCCAACCGCAGGGCCTTAAGAGGAATTTCTTGGATAAATGTCCTTCGTTGTGTTTGATAAAAGCAAAACGCCCTTAAAAACATAGAAAATACGCGTAAATATCGGAGATTCCGCGCCTCGCTCAAGGAACAGGCAGTCGGCAGGAGCGCCGAGTGCGCTGCGGGCGGATGGGCGTCCAGCGGGGCAGTGCTTCAGATTTTAAGTTGAATTACGCATAAAAAAAGCAATCAAACACTTTTTGTTAAAATAAAACCGAAGGAAAAGACAATGGGCACGCGATCACAACGCCTCGAGCGTAAACATGCAGCTGTTGTGCCACGAAGGCCAGCATGCCTATAGTTCCGAAATGGAAAGCAGTGCGATCCTCCCCCAAAACTGCAAATAAAAAACAAATCTTTTGATTAAAAATAATAATTAAAATGCACTTTATCTAAATATTTTATTGGTTTTTAGTTTTGTCGCTGTATTCACACAAACGATGACCTATTGTAGCGCCAGCACATTTCTCAATGACGAGCCTCGCTCACCGCCGCTTGCAGCTGCAGTTCGCCTCACATCGGATCTCATTTCCCCCGAATTTCTCCTTGAGTTTGAATAAAATTCAAATAAAAATTCACATTGAGCAAGAATACCCCAAACCACTACATTTTGTTTTTTGTTTCCGCCGCCGGGTTCTGCATGGCGCAGCTGAAATCCTCTTAGCAGCGACCCCACCTCTTGTTGTGTGCGGGTTGCAGCATGAGCGTGTGCAGAAATTCTGTCCTCGATAAAAACAAAATTTAATTTGACTATATAAATACACAATAAAAACAATTAAAATAGTGCAAAAGATTACGCTTGAAACTGCGGGGGAATGGCTCTCCTGAAGCCATATAACCCCACAGCGCAGCACACGGCCCACGCATTGCTGCAGGTATCCCTAGCCCCCTTAATTTTGCTTCTATTTCTTTCTCTTTACATGCAGTACGCAGTCAGTGTTGTGCTATTCACACCGATTGAAATACCCCAAACACGAAACAAAAACACAGACCCAACGGCCTAGGACATCATCGGGGTTTACGGTGTATGGTGGCGGCGTCAGACAAACCCTGCAGAGAACGAAAACCCTAAACCCTAAACCCTTTCCCTTAAACCCTTAGCTCTAAACAGTAAAGAGAGGTCCATCGAAGCCACAAGAGCTGTATTTTTGCTTGTTGGTCATAGTTTACAATCAAAGCTTTTAGGGTTTAGGGTTTAGGGTTTAGCGGGAACCACAGTGATTGCACTGCAGGCTTTGTCTTTCAGCAACTCGTTCATGCAGCTGCTGCCTGGTTCGGCTGTATGGGGATGGAGTGCCGCCCGCTGTAATTTTTTGTTTTCGGGTGTATTCTCCCTCAAGCGAGAGAACCCCTGTTCAGGTGTATCTGCAGCTACACGGCGGGGCTGTGCCGCATCCGGCTGCCGCTGCTGCAGGTGCTGTGTTTTATCATTTCGCAGAAATATCAGCTACCGCATGCAAACCAATTTATTTTTATGCGGAGTCCGCGTGGAAAGAAACAAGAAACAGAGACACGGCAGATATCGAGCTCAGGTGTATAGGCATCATAAACTGCAGTGTACAGGCAGCTACTGAGTTGTATCCCCAGAGATTCCCGTAGCTAGTTGTATATAGATGTAATGCCAAAGTATATAACTATATCAATGCAGCAGAAACCTGCACTTGCCGGGGCGGAAGTGCAGCAGCAGAGCTGCAGCAGTACCGCCTCGTTTGCCTTACAGCAGCAGCAGTTAACAGCAGCAACTGCAGCAGCAGCTGCTGTATGCATTCCCTTTGCATGCATTTATAAACCGGACGTTCACTTCTTAAGCTTATCTCAAATTTCCTGCTGAGAGAGCGCAAAGCTTACGAGCAGCTGCGGGGCCCTAGGGCCCCCTAGGGCCCCCTAAACAGTTTCAGGTTCGGTAGTAATTGAGATAAAGAGCAGATGCTCTCCCCTCTAACAAACTTATTTTCTATCTACTCAGGACCCTCTGTGCAGCGAAAACCCTTTGCTGCTGCATTCATGCGTTGTTGCAGCTCCTCTCTTGATAGCCTAAAGCAGTCGATGAGAAACAAAAAATGAGGCTATATTAAATTAAATAAAAAAGAAAGAAAATACTAAAACGGTTTCAAAAAAAATGCAAAATTTTGGCGGGAAATGCAGAAAATATACACTTTAGGGTGTATGTACACCTTCGGGTGTATAGACACCAGGAGATGCAGGCAGAAGCAAACAACACGCGAAACAAATTTAATTATATTTTATATAATTTATAATTATACATCAAAATATATTTAAAATATATTTAAATGTTTCAACAAAAAACACACGGGAGACAAACGGTCGCCTCGACCGCTCAAACCCTAAACCCCAAACCCTAAACCCTAAACCCTAAACCCTAAACCCTAGACCCAAGGCCCCCATAAACACTAAAGGTGGCATTTGAAACTGCTTTTCGAAGCATTCTGCATTTTTTGTGTAAGTTTGTGGGCGTCTATAGAGAAGCAAACACAAACCCTAAACCCTAAACCCTAAACCCTAATTTGACGGGGGGTGTTACCACCCCGCAACAACCACCGCCGCCGCGTGGCGGTTTCGTGTTGATGGTTTAGGGTTTAGGGTTTAGGGGCTTTCTCGTGGTGCTGTTTGCTTGAATTTTCAGCCTTCTTTCTTTTTTATTATATAAACAACATTTCGTTGTTTCTTTGTTATACATAAACACCCGAACCCCAAGCCCTCGTGGGGAGGGGTTCCTCCTCCCTCTACACCTGCAAACCCTAAACCCTAAACCCTAAACCCTAAACCCTCTTCACAACCTTCTGTCTTTGCTGCTGACTCCTTGGCTAGGGTCATTGCCTCCAGCAGCAGCAGCAGCAGCAGGAACAGCAGCAGCAGCAGCAGCAGCAACAGCAGCAGCATCCGCAACACCGCGTCCAATACACCTGGCCACGCCAGCAGCAGCAACAGCATAAGCCGAAACAGCTGCTTAAACAACAGCAGCAGCACACACGAACAACAGCACCACCAGCAGCACCAGCAGCAGCAGCAGCAGCAGCAGCAGCAGCTGAAATGTCTAACCCTGCGGGTGGTTCAGAGGGCCCAAGGGGCCCCTTCGTTACACCCGAGGCCCCGGGGGGCCCCCAGCAGTCGATGGCGGGGCCCTCAGCTTTTGCTTCAACAGCAAACAACAACAACACAGCACGAGAAGACCCCGCTACTGTTCAGGTTATCACAAACCCTAAACCCTAAACCCTAAACCCTAAACCCTAATTTATCTTAATTGACCCTAAACACCGCTTACTCTAACCCTTGAAAACCCTAAACCCTACCGGTTTTTTTCAGCGCCAGCACATCTATAGGACTAAGCTGGCACTTCTCTCTCTCAAGGGTTTAGGGTTTAGGGTTTAGGGTTTAGGGTTTAGGGTTTGGGGTGTACAGGACACGAACTTTGCGGTGTTTTTCGCTCACTTTTTGAGGGTTTATAGGGGCCCAGGCCCCTCAGAAGATGATGCTGATCAGCCAGAAGAGATAGAAGGGCTCCCAGCTGATATAGCAGGTGGGGGAGGGGTCAAGGGTTTAGGGTTTAGGGTTTAGGGTTTAGGGTTTAGGGTTTGAGGCATAGGGTTTAGGTGAGGCCGTGTGGCGCCTCTACAGACAACAAGTTTAGGGTTCAGGGTTTAGGGTTTAGGCGTGCTGTTTCTCTTTATCTGCGGCGTTTCTGGGGGTTTATTATGTATGATTGATGTTTTAGGGTTTGGTGTTTAGGGTTTAGGGTTTAGGGTTTAGGGTTTATGATATTTGGACTTCAGTTCACTACTACGTGTTATTATATATTATTATTGATTAGGGTTTAGGGTGTATATTAGAATGTACATGAGTGTGTATACTATAGTCTATTGTGTAAATTAGGGTTTAGGGTTTAGGGTTTAGGGTTTAGGGTTTAGGGTTTGCGTGCAGAGTTTTACTATCTGCGTCAGCTCGCGGGTTTACTATCGAGGCCCCGCAGCGTCTGCAGTTTGTTAGTTCGTCTGAAACACCTAGAGGGGTGGGCCCCCCAGGGGGCCCCCGTGGAGGATGCAGGCCTGAAGCTGGCTCACCACATACGAAAAAACTATATTAGGTTCGGCTCGAAACCCTAAACCCTAAACCCTAGTAAACCCTAATAAACCCTCGGAATGAATTTCAGATACATACGGTGTATATATCAGGCGAAACACAACAAAATATATGCTAGGGTTTAGGGGTTTTAGGGTTTAGGGTATATTGTATGGTATATTAGGATCTATCAGGATCCATTAGGGTTTAGGGTTTAGTGTTTAGGGTTTAGGGTTTGCATGCAGGATTCAGCCGCTGCTGCAGGAGCGGCTGCAGCAGCTGGCGAATGAGGTCGCCCAGCGCATCTCCTGCAGCTCTTCTCCGGTGTATCTGCAGCTCCATGATGTTCCTCGTTATGTACACAGGTTTGTAGTCCTAGGGTTTAGGGTTTACTAGGGTTTAGGGTTTACTAGGGTTTAGGGTTTACTAGGGTTTAGGGTTTACAAGGGTTTGTGAGGGTTTAGGGTTTGGAACTGCTCTGGGGGTTTCTTGTTTTACTTTTTCGATGGGCTGTATGCTTGGGGTTTAGGGTTTAGGGTTTATTGTTGTATTTTATTTTAGTGTTTAGGGTTTATTGTTGTATTTTATTTTAGGGTTTAGTGTTTAGTGTTTGTGTTTTTCCTGTAGCATAACCTTCGTTTGTTCCCTCACATTGGCTAGTAGAATAAGCCTCTAGGGTTTAGGGTTTAGGGTTTAGGGTTTGCGTTGTGTTGCAGCATAAGCGGGGTTCGTTGCAGCATGCTTGGGGGTTTAGTGTGTGTCAGGGGTTTAGTAACCCGAACCACCGACGTGCGGCCTGAGCTGTTGTTTGGCTCTTTTCGCTGTGAAGACTGCAACCGCATTGAGGCTGCTGTGCCCCAGCATTTCAAATTCACACAGGTAATTAGGGTTTAGGGTTTAGGGTTTAGGGTTTACGAGGGTTTACGAGGGTTTACGAGGGTTTATTAGGGCTTATTAGGGTTTATTAGGGTTTAGGGTTTAGGGTTTAGGGTTTATATACAGCCTGTGAAATGCTCAACCCCCCAATGCCACAACACAAAGAACTAGCGTTTCCTTTTTCTTTGTATCCTGCTCTCTAACATACTGAATAAGGGTTTATATTTCCTAGGGTTTAGGGTTTAGGGTTTAGGGTTTAGGGTTTGTATATGTATACAGCCCGTGAAGTGTTCAACCCCACAATGCCACAACACAAAGAACTGGCATTTCCTTTTTTTTTTTTGTATCTTTCTCTAACATACTGAATTAGGGTTTATATTTCCTAGGGTTTAGGGTTTAGGGTTTAGGGTTTGTATGTGTATACAGCCCGTGAAGTGTTCAACCCCTCAATGCCACAACACAAAGAACTGGCGTTTGTTGCCTGAGGCGTCACAATTCTCAGATTGGCAA